CTGGGGCCTTGGGTGGATGTCCTTGTGGGGCTACAATACGTGCGAGTGAGGTGCCGACATGGAAAGCACAACCGCATGCGCATGCAGCCATTGTGGCCCTCGGTGGGGCTCCCTGTGGGGCCACGGAATGTGTGATGGGTGTGCCGAAAGAAAGGGTGGAACCGCATGCGATTGCAGCCATTGGGGCTTTCGGTGGAGCTCCTCATGGGGCTCCGAAACGTTTGATGGGATGTGCCGAAATGGAGAGTGGAACCGCATGCAAACGCAGCCACTGGAGCCTTCGGTGGAGTTCTTTATGGAGCCACGAAACGTGCGAGTGGTGTGCCGACATGGGGGGCAGAACTGCATGCGACCGCAGCCAGTTCGATCTTGGGTGGAGCTCCTTATGGGACCACGAAACGTGTGAGGGGTGTGCCGACAGGGGGGGCGGAATTGCGTGCAACCGCAGCCACCAGGGCCTTCGGTGGAGTTCCTTATGGAGCCACGAAACGTGCGAGTGGTGTGCCGACATGGGGGCCAGAACTGCATGCGACCGCAGCCAGTTCGATCTTGGGTTGAGCTCCTTATGGGACCACGCAACGTGTGAGGGGTGTGCCGAGAGGGGGGGGGGGGCGGAATTGCGTGCAACCGCAGCCACCAGGGCTTTCGGTGGAGTTCCTTATGGAGCCACGAAAAGTGTGAGGGGCGCGCCGAATTGACACGTGGAGGGCAGAGGCAGGGTTGGGAGGAGGGAGGAAGAGGGGGAGGGAAGAAGAAAGGAGTGAGTGACGCGGGGCGCTGTCTTGTCAAAACCAAGACCCAACACAAGTTGGTTGGGAGTTCTGTAGCTGCATCCCAAACGGCGAAAACTGCGCACGTTTCGCATGAAAGCGAAACAGGCTTCATGTGGGGATTCTACAAGTCGCATGTGGAGATGGATATATAGGAACGGTATAACTTTCTCGAATTTCGCCTGCACATTTATCACTTAAGAATGCCATAGGTCACGGTTGAAGATCTACCTCTATCAGATGATCAACTCACAGCTTGCATGTGAATCCTACACACGTCCTGGCTGGAAACGGTATACATTCCAAGAGAGAATATACCCCTTGTTCTTTCGTGGGAACCGCATGCTTTTCATACTGGGTACCATACAGTTCCCATACGACAGCAACTCCCAGATGGAACATATGCTTTCATCATACGACACACTTAGAGTTCTCTTGCAACACAACTGCACCAATCCCACATGACAACTACGCAGTTCCAGTATAAAACGATGCACTCCTTAATGGAAAAATATACATCTCCAGATGAAACAACCCAAGTTGGTACCACTTCCCCAGCTATGGCGTTAAGGTTGCTTTCCAGAACGTATGTTTACACATCACCACGGCATTTGCTTCTTGGATCGCGATAAAAACTTCACACGTAGATTCCTAGCGTAAGACTCAAAATGCCAACTGTAATTGGTACCAATTGGCCGTTCCGCCAGTTGAGATGGGAACCAGCTGGTTGGGGTTGGTACCAGAGGGTTGCGATTGGTCCACCATGCGGGTCCGACCCATCCACCCGAGCGCAGGCAAACGACAGCAACGACGAGGATCACGACGGCGACGACGCCCGGCGCTGGCAAACGACGACGACGAGGGCGACGACGACGACGACGACGTGTCCCCCCCGCTCTCTCGACCGTCTTGCACTCGACGACGTTGACGACGTGTCCCGCCACACCGACGAATGCGTTCACGACGACGACGAACAATGACGACGACTCGACGACGCCCCGCGCCAGCAAACAACGACGACGACGACGTGTCCCGCCCGCCCGCACAACCGATTCACCCGCAACGACGACGACGACGACGACAACGTGTCCCGCCCGCCCGCCTGGCCGACCGATTCGCCAGCGAACGACGACGACAATGGCGACGGCGACGACGATGACGACGACGCCCGTCGCGACGAAGGACGGCGACGACGACGACGCCAACGACGCCAACGACGCCAGCGACGCCAACGACGACGACCCGAGCCTTATGCCCGATCTCTCTACGAGGGCCCAGGGCCAGAATGATGGAGCGAAATCGCCCGGTGTGCACAAACATGCGACGCCAGGATCTCAGGGAGAGGCACCTCTCCTTGCATGTGGCCGACGGACTTCGCCGCCGTTGCCGCCGCCGCCGCCTACGACGGCGGCGGCTACGACGACGACGACGACGACCACAACGACGACCACGACGACGACGACGACGACGACGACGACGACGACGACGACGACGACGACGACGACGACGACGACGACGACGACGACGACGACTACGAAGACGACGACGACGACGACGACGACGACGACGACGAGGGGGGGAGAGGGTCTGGACTCCCCCGCTCCCCGAATTGTGAGGAGGGGGGTCCGAATCCGCCGCCCCCCGACTTCTGGAAGGGGAGGGGCTCTCGCCAGGGAGGGGGGTGGAGGGGCCCCAGTTCTGGAGAGGAGGGGCGGGTATTTCCGAGCGGCAGCCCGTTCCAGAGCGGGAAGGCTGGGATCTTGCAAAAGTGAAACGTACACAGGATACGATCTTTCTAATAAAGGAATCGCCCTCCATACGTGCATTGCGATGCAAACGTGAACCTTGTTTGTATAGCGGTGCGAATACCAAGCTGCACCCTGTCCCAAGGCCAGGCGACATTTTTTATGTTGTCGATCGCGTTGTTTGCTGCATTGATTCGGCAGTTTTGCAAGGACCGTTGCTGCCACCTCCTCCCCTTTTCCTTCCCTGTAGCAAATTGGGCCCAAGCCCCCCCGTTGTAGCGAAGCCGCGAGCGTCGCGCTAGTCGGCAACTATCTGGCCGCCTGGCGCCTGGTTCAATCACGGCCGCGGGCGGTAGATGCCCAACTCAGACCAGCCTTTTTGCCCCAGATCGAAAATCATATGATCTACCATGCTCACGGGGTGTCACAAGGTGACACGATGCATTAAACACGTGAGAGTTTCGGGCACGAGAACTCGCGGATGTGGCAAGCGAGAGCTTTATTTTGACAGGGATCGCCCAAAGAGGGTGTAATTGTTGAGGTTCGCACAGGCAAATCTGACGACGTCGCAAGCGAAAATTTTGTTGAAAATGAGCCGCCATCCATCTCCATCTCGTGCAGCGGCCGCAAAACTTTGAGGCAGGTGCGCGCGGTGCCACAACGACCTGCCATGTATCCGTGCAAGTGCTGGAATGTTTGAACACGGATGTGTCCGGCACTCTGGAGGAAGCCACATGGAAAGCTACGCGGCCTCCATCTGAGCAGCCGCTGCAGTTGTTTAAGACGAGTGCGCGCGGCGTCAAAGCGACAGCCACATGTTGAAAACCACGCGTGGCCCATGTGTGTTGCTGCTGGGGTCCTCCAGCCTCTGGACCATAAGGACGAAGATGCGTTCGTGGGTCCTGCCGACACGTCTGGTGGTTGACGACCTAGAAGTTGCTCAGAGGAGGGATGGGTCATGAGGGGGGGAACGAAGAGGAGCACGAGGAATAAAATACGTGGTCCAGGAGCGAGGAGGAGGAATAAGTGCAGCGTCAGGGCGTCACCTTTCGGCCCTTGCTGGGCCTCCCTGGCCCTCGCCTTCTGCTCTGGCCTCTGGAGGCTTCTCCTGGGGCCCCCCCGCGTGCGGCCGCGGCGGGTCCGCCGCGCGCCGCCCATGCGGCGAAGACCGCCACAGCTGCGCCTCCGCGCGGAGGCACAGAGCCGCGCCCGTAAAGACAGCAGAAAAGGCGGCGTGAGGGCGTCACTTGTGCGGCCTCCCTCCTCCCGCGTCCGTCCCTCTCCCCCGCCCCCTGCTATCCCCTCAGGCGGCCGGTGGAGAACAAAGAGCAGGGCACACATATGTAGGTGCAGATGCATCAAGCTTTTCTATAGGCGCAGGAGAAAAAAACTCTTGATCCGTGAAACACAGGCGGCAGAGCACGCAAACAAGCAAGCAAAGCTGGAGCGGGACAGGGAGGACCAGGAGGAGCAGAAGGAGCAGGAGGACCAGGAGCAGCGCGAAGGAAGGAGAAGCTGGAGGAGCAAGGATGAACGGGGGACGACGCTCGCGCGGGGGCGGGCGAGCGGCTCCCGCGGTCCAACCTCATGATGCCCGATATTCGGCATGGCCGTTGGGACGCAGCGTCCGGAGTTCTTTTGCAGGGGGAGCGGGCAGGAGCGGGAGGAGGCAGAGCCGCATGCATGAGCAGGGGTAGGGGCAGGAGGAGGACCCCTCTCCGACTCCGAACCCCCTCCAGAACTTCGGGGCCTCCGATGACGCACAACCGTTCCTCTGCAGTCTTCCTTCGTATCTGCTCCTACTCTGCCACCTGACCCTGGCGTTCCCGCGCGGGCATGGCGCACGTTCAGTTCGCCAGAGCGCATGAAAGCGGCAGCGGCAGAAGGGGGCAAGAGCGGGCGAACTGCTGTCCTGGCAGGAGACCCCCGCGCAACATGCAAGCACAGGTGGCAGTGCTGTTCCCGCGCGGCGCATGCTTCGTCGTCGCCGCGTTCGTCGGAAGTTTTGCCGCTCCCGCTTCTGCGCGGTCCACGCAGCTTCCCCTTCGCCAAGGCGTCGGAAGCGGAACTGCGCGCGAGCGCCTTCGCTTGCGCTTCTTTTGCGTCACGGGAAGGGGAGTGGGAATGGGCGGGGCCCGCTGCCTCTTTTTCGACCTGGCTGGCATGTCATGGCCCTCCAGTCTTTCCCCCTCCTCCTCCACCTCCTCCTCCGCCGCTGCCCCCTCCCCTCCTGCATGTGCACGGCTCGACCCGAGATGGACATGGTGAGCGTACCTGCGGTGAAAAAGATAGTTTTGTTCGTTTGTTTGTTTGTTTGCTTGCTTGTTTATTTAAGCATGTATATATGTATGTACATGTGCGCGAAGGTAAAGGAAAAGCAGCACACAACAAATGAAACAAACCCGTCGCCATTGCCGCCGGCGCTGTCGCCGCCGCCGCCGGCGCCGCCGCCCGTGGGCCGGGCCCGCGCCGCGCCGGGCCCGAGGAGCGCAGCCGGCGTCCCCGGCGAGCTCGGAGGCCACGACCGCCGCGCCGCGCAGGATGCGCCGCCACTCACCGAGCGCGTTCCACTACCCGCAAAGTGCCCACTCGCAAACGTCAGAAAAAAACATGCATTCCTCGATGTGACGTAGCGTGAGTCCCCCGCGGCGGATGCAGGCCCTGTGCGAGTAGCTGCTCTGCGAGTAGTGGAACGCGCTTGCCCAGGCATTGGCCCCGACGCGGCCGCCGTGCGCGTCGTCGTTGTCGTCGTCGTCGACGTCGTCGGCGGCGGCGGCATCGTCGTCGTCGGCGTCGTCGTCGTCGTCCTCGTCGTCGTCGGCGTTGGCGTCGGCGTCGGCGTCGGCGTCGGCTTCCTCGGCGTCGTCGTCGTCGATGCCGTCGTCGGCGACGTCGCCGCCGCCTCCAACGTCGCCCGAGGAGGAGGACCAGGAGGAGGGCGGAGCAGGGGAAGAAGGAGCGAGAAAAAGGGGGCGGCGGCAGGAACAGGCGTGCGCCGGTGGACGGCATCGGTGCTGGCTTGCGTGCGCCGCGGGCACACGGGTCGCGCCCCCCCCCCCCCCCCCACACACTTGTGCGGAGGGCCGCACCTCTTGCTTCGGCCACGCGCAGGGGAGGGGGCAGGTGGAGGGGGGAAGGCTTCTTAGAAGCACCCCTGCTTCTCAGAAGGCGCGGGCCTTCTCTGTGGCCTTCTCTGTAGCCCCCTCCTTCTGAGAAGCCTTCCCCCTCCCCCTGCCCCCTTGTGCGCGCCGCCGATCGCCCGCCCCCCCCCCGAGCACCAAGGTCCGCCTCGGCGCCCCTTCTGCGCCAGCCCTTCGACCGGAAGAGGGGGAGGAGCAGCGACACGGGCAGCCTCCTCCTCCTCCTCCTCCTCCTCCTCCTCCTCCTCCTCCTCCTCCTCCTCCTCCTCCTCCTCATCCTCGAAGAGGACTGCCCTGTCTGCGAGAATGGCTGATTCGCTCGCTGCTCCGTCCGCCAGCGCTCTGCCAGACGGAGGAGGGTAAAATGCCAGCAGGCAGCCTCACCCCCAGCGGCGCCCCAAACCCACTTGAAGCGCAGAGCACCACCCTCACGAGTGGCTATGGGAAGTCGTCGAGCTGGGCACAAGCCAAAGGCAGCGTTCCAAACACGACGACTTCTCAGAGGCACCCCCGAGGAAGAAGAGGAAGGAAAGGAAGGGAGGAACAACAAGAAACAGAGGGAGGCAAACACGGGGAGGGGCGGAGAGGGCGAAGGGGGGCGACACCCTGCAACCCAGGGGCGTGTGGCCCCGCCAGGGCGGGCTCGTCCCTCGAGGAGCACTGCCTGCGGCGCCACGCCAGCCCTCCGGCCAGCATGGCAGCCAGGCCCTCGAGCATTGTCGTCGGGTCCTGTTGGGATACCTCCCTACCGAGCGAGGCAGCGAGCAACCGTAACGACTTGGGGTAGCTTGGGTTCCTTCGGACCGAAGCCACCGAGTGAGAAAACTGACCTGGCTCTCGATGTCCACGGCCAGGCGCCCTACAGGAAGCAAGCACTCGGACTCCACGGGCGGGATCACCACCTCTCAGGGGGCCGGAGCCGTGCCCCTCCTCGTCCTCGCCCGAATCATCGGAGGCGTGCCCGGAGCCGCTGTCGAGCTCGCTCGGGCTGCAGGAGTCGTCGCCAGAGCCGCCCGTCGGTCTCGCCCTGGCCGACAAAGCAGCCCTCGTCCAGGCCAGCGTTGGGTGTGGCTGCTCGCGCCCTCCTCCTCGTCGGGCCAGGGGGGGAGGCTTCGCCGGGCTCCTGCGCGCAGGCCCTCCTCCGACGCCGCCTCTCGAGTGGCTGCGGCCGCCTGCACGTGCGGCGCCCAACCCTGGCCAGCTCCTCCGCGGAGCCCCTGCCGTGCTCCTCGTGGTCGCTGGGCGCGGGAGCGCCGTGGCTGGACGGCGGTGGCGTCTGGGCCTGAGCGGCGCCACGTGGCGGCCCTGCCTGCCGCGGTGCCTCGCAGGGCGGCGAGGGCGGCGCTGGTCCGCGTGCTCGCCTCCTCCTCGCGGGTCGCCTCGACGTCGGCCTCGGCGGAGACGCCGGGCGGCTCCGCGGCGCCCGGGACGGATGCCCTCCGCGGCTCGGGGCCCGCCGCGGCGCCGGGGTCCTCATGCCCGCGGTCGCCGCCCTGCAGGTTGCCGCTGCTCTCGACGCGGAAGCGGGCGCGACGTCGCAGTCGTAGTCGGCCGCGTCCTTCGGCGCCTGCACGAAGACGTCATCGAGCAGTCGGAACCGATGTCCTCGAGGTCGCTCTGAGCAGCAGCCACAGGCGCGAGCCCGGCGTCCCGCTCCGCCGCGAAGATCGCCTCCCGAGAGGCGGCTGTGACGCGTCCGACCCAGCGTCCCGCAGATCGCCGCCGAGCGGCAGGTCGTAGGGCCGGCGGCCTCTCGATCCTCTGGCAGCGCTCCGGGTGGATAGCCTGGGTAGTTCGTTGCCCCTGTCGCGGCGGGCGGGAAGGCCCGCTGCCCTTCTCCCCATCGCCGGTCTGCACGTGCTCCGCGGCGCAGAAGCCGCCCTCGTCGCACCTGGGGACCGCAGCGCAGCCCTCTAACTACTTGGGCCGCCGCCTGCTCCTGCTTGCAGTGGAGGTCTGGCATGACGAGCTCATCACGCCCAGCGGCATCAGCGTCGCCTGGCCGAAGAGCATCGCCAACAGTTGGCCGATCGGCAGGCCGGAGAGCATCGCCAGCAGCAGGCTGAGGCGCAGCGCCAGCACCAGGCCGAAGGGGAACACGAAGTCGAAGCGCCAGGATGGCGACATCGGCACCTCGGACCGGCCTGCTGCGCCGCGCGGCATAGCCAAGGCGGCAGAGCGCCGCCGCCACAAGCCTCGGGGCTGGCCGCGGGGCCGGCGGCGGCGGCGTCTCGTCGGGGTCGCTTTGCAAGCAACGCCCCTGGTCGCGCGACCGCAGAGGTGTCGCAAGCCCCTGTGGCCTGCACCCAGGACACCTCGAGCTGCCAGAGCAGCTGAAAGAGGGAAGGAGGGAGGAGGGAGGCAGTATGTGCAGCAGCGTTTGCGGGGGGGGGAGCAGGAGGGAAGAAGGGGATAGAGGGTAGAGGGGGGAAGGAGGGATGAGGAGCAGCAGCAGCAGCAGCAGCAGCAAAAGCATCAGCAGCATCAGGGGGTGGCACGGGGCGAGGGAGAAGGAGCGTTTTTTTTTGACATCGCCGGACAGCTGCCGACGATACAACTGGCCTGGGGGCTAGCGCGGCCTGCCAGAGGGATGAAAGTCATGCCTTGGAGTCGCAGAAACTCGGGCTGCCAGCGGGCAGGACAGCGAAGGAAATGACTCGCCCCTGGTGGACCACACGGCCGCCTTGCCGCACGTACACGCGATGTCGCTGCAGCGGTAACGCACAACGGCTGGCGACAGCAGCACTGTCCAAAAGTGTCGACGTATCCCGTGCAGCTCCGCCTGGCTCCACCAGCGAGCGAGTCCCCACCTCGAGCAATGGACAGCAACGTACTTGGGACCTCGGTCTGGACGAGCGAATACGAGCAGAGACCACAGGCAAAGCCGATGAGCACTGGGCAGAGCTGCCCACACAGTCGGGGTAAAGCGCCAAGACCAGATGCAAGCGTGGAGCACAAGGACAGTCACATAGAACCCCCGGTGTGACCGAAAGGTGGCAGCACATAACGGCAGGCCACCCAGCACGAGAGTCGCAGGGAGCATTACTCACCTGCAGAAGCACCTGTGGACAGAGAGCTTTGTTCACCTGCATTGAAAGGCGGCTCTGAACGCTCAAGATGCGAAACGCCCACTCCCTCAACAGCCAGAGCATTGGCACGCAAGTGGTTGATGCGGGGGTGTAAGCCTGTCACGCACATGTTGCAAGTCGTCTTGCCATACCGACTAGACTCGCGAGAACAAGTAGTGGTCAGACCAGTCTTGACACACACGCGCTTTTGTGAAGGAATGCGTCGCAAAGAATGCACAAGAGACAGAGTATGCACCTTCCGTGCGCGATAAGACGATGGTATTATGGCCGTTCGCAGCAGCCACACCTAGATCGGGCTGATCGGCGCTTTTCACGAGGGAAAAGTAGGCACAGGCACACAAAAACACGCCGATCACCCGGAAAGTATGGGAAACTATGGCACGTGGAGGGGAAGACGAAGGTACGAAAAAGATGGCACATTTGGGAAAGCTTGGGATGTGTGCCTATTCCCAGGGTTCGACCTAAACGGTGTTTTGGCGGCTTCGTGGGCCGTGTTCGTTTCGACCTCGTCGTTGCAGCAAAGGCGGGTTAGAAGACGAGACGATGGAAAACGACATCGAAACGAAAACGAGAAACATTGCTTAGGTCAATCCCTGCCTATTTCTTTGTGTGTATGCCCCTGGGCACCTTCGTGCCTGGCACCATGGCGTTTCCCCGCAAGGGGGAGGAGGACGAGGAGGAAGAGAGGAGGAGGAGGAGGAGGAGGAGGAGGAGGAGGAGGAGGAGGAGGAGGAGAGTGCAAACCCAAGAGGCATCAACGATGTTGGAATTCACCATCCCTCCAAGCTCCCTCTTCATAGGCCCCTACAACGGTTCATTTCCATTGAGGGAACTGCCTCGTTGGAAGACAACCGGTTGAAGACCTTGAAGCATGCCGAAACATTGTTCTCGGGATTTCCGCGCCACGGATCAACTTGACTGCTACATCTGACGATCTGGATTCGTGCCAGAACGCCATCTTTGGGACTTCAGCACCACGAACCAACATAACTGTTGCACCCGCATAGCCCTGAATCCTTCCAAAACACCACTTCTGGTACGCTGATCACGGGAATCCGTGAAACTCTTGCAAATGTTTAACATGAATATGCGCGGCGCTAAGACGAGAGCCACATTTCAAAAAGGAACTGCCCTCAATCCGCGAAACCCCTGCACATGTTTGAAGCGAACGTTCGCGGCGCTAAGGTGACAGCCACATTTTGAAAACCACCCGCCCTCAATCCCTGAAGCTCTTGCAATGGTTTGGTGCACGTGTACTCGGCGCTGGAGCGAGAGCCACATTTTGAACAGGAGCCGGCTTCAAGCCGAGAATCTCTTGCAAATGTCTAACGAATGTGCGCGGCGCTACGGCGAGAGCCACGTTTTGAAAACCACCCGCCCTCGATCCGTGAAACCCTTGCTGAATTTCAAGACGATGGCAAATGTTTAAAGCGAATGTGCGCGGCGCTAAGGCGAGCGCCACATGGTGAGAACCATGCGCCCTCAATCCGTGAAACTCTTGCAAATGTTTAAAACGAACGTGCGCGGCGCCAAGGCGAGGAGCTACATTTTGAAAACCACCCGCCCTCAATCTGTGAAACTGCTGCAATGTCTTCAGCTTCAGAGTCACATAAATGGTGAGGAAGTCTCAAGCGAAACGCCTGGCCCGCCCTAAAAACTTGCCTCGGGGCGCGACAGGGAAAAGTTGCTTATCAGGACAAGGAATGGAGGAGGAGGAAAAGGAGTTAGGACACTCATTCCGAGGTTCCGAGGAGGAGGAGGACGACGAAGGAGCAGAAGGAGGCGGAGGAGGAGGAGGCGGAGGAGGAGGAGGAGGAGCAGGAAGAGGAGGAGAGGAGGAGAGGAGGAGGAGCAAGAGGAGGAGGAGAGAAGGAGAGGAGGAGGAGGAGGAGGAGGAGGATGGAGATGAGGAGGAGGAGGAGGAGGCGGAGCAGGAGGAGGAGGCGGAGGCGATGGAGAGGAGGGCGGAGGGAGGAGGGGGAGGGGGAGGCGAGCCACGGCCCCGGACCCCACCACAGCACGCGAGCAGCGCCGGGGAGCTGCGCACGTGCCACGGCCAGTCGTCTCGGCATCGCTCGGGCGTGTGCGTTTTTCCTCGGCGATCCTCCTCCCTCCTCCTCCCTCCTCCTCCTCCTCCCCTCCTCCTCCTCTCCTCCTCCTCCTTCTCCTCCTCCTCCTCCTCCTCCTTCTCCGCCTCCTCCTCCTCCTCCTCCCCTCCCTCCCTCCCTCCCTCCCTCCCTCCCTCCCTCCTCCTCCTCGTTGTACTTTAGACCAACAGTAGGTACGAGCCTGTTGCGTTCTTGATCTAATGCGAGAGAAAAATTGCATAAGCCCGACATGGGGCACAAAGTACCTGGCGGGCGCCGCACTAACAGATGTGAGAAGAGGGCGTCGGCGAGCGTAGAAAAAAGAGTAGGCGCCCGCCAGATACAAGAGGTCAGCGTACCTTAGTAATAAGAGCCCCCCCAGTAAATCCTCCTCGTGCCCCATCCCAAGATTCTCTGGTACGGCTGCCTCGGGTAGAAGTGCAAGTGCAAGCAAGTGCGCATTACGAGTATACTACAGCCTGGTATGTTTGCCAATTGTGTTGGCTGGCCTTGGTTCAGTTAATCTAAGGCGGTAAGCAACTGTAAGATGAGCAGTGCAGAAAATGAAGGTAGGCATAGCCGCAATTACTGGGCTGCTACCTAAGGTGTTACGGTTCGCCCCAAATCTCCATGGTTTGGGACCCTCGTGTTTTTTGTAGTCTCTTTTCGGGTTTAGCACGAATCCCTGTACCAGCAGGCTGGCGCAGCATTTTGGCTGGCCTGTATTAAAACAGCATGGCAGAATAAACAGAACAGGTTGCGACAGTGGCAGAGAGTGTAGGCGGCGCTGACTGGATAGCTGGGCTAAACTTAGTTGCAGTTCGTCTCGGCCGCCGCTGCGCTCGAATACAGACCGCAACACTAGGTGATCGGTCCCTCATCCAACCTCCTCTCAAAACATGCCTCCCGCGAGAGCCTACCCTCAGTGTCAGGCTGGCCAAAGTCGAACTCCTCCTCCTCATCATCTTCCACCTCCTCCTCCTACTCCTCCTCCTTCTCCTCCTCCTCTTCCACCTCCTCCTCCTCCTCCTCCTCCTCCTCCCATTCCTGCCCCTCCTCCCCCTCGGCGATCCTCCGCCTCATCTTCCACCTCCTCCTCCTCCTCCTCCTCCTCCTTTTCCTCCTCCTCCTCCTCCGCCTCAGAGCTCAGAGCTCAGAGCTCAGAGCTCAGAGCTCAGAGCTCAGAGCTCAGAGCTCAGCTCAGAGCTGCGGACGGCTCTGGGTGGACCATCGAGAAGCATCCTGCACCACCGAGCAAAGACACCACGCGCGACACCGAACAACACACGGAGACTGGACGTCCGAGCGGCGGCAAGGCGTGCTGCAGCGCAGGGCCGGCCTCAGCAGGCAGCCTTGGGGAGCTGCCTTCTGGAGCTCGATTTCCCCTCGAGGCTCGGGCGCGGCCAGGCTGGGAGAAGCTCGGCCGCCAACCTGCGGGAGAGCGAGCGGAGGAAGGGAGAGGGAGAGGAGGAGGAGGGGGGAGGGCGACGGGAGTCGGGAGGAGGAGGAGGAGGAGGAGGAGGAGGAGGAGAAGGAGGAGGAGGAGGCGGAGGGGGAGGAGGAGGAGGAGGAGGAGGAGGAGGAGGAGGAGGAGGAGGAGGAGGAGGAAGGAGGAGGATGAGGAGGAAGAGAGCAGGAGGAGCAGGAGCAGGAGCAAGGGAGGGGGGGGAGATGGAAAGAGAGGAGGAGGAGGAGGAGAGGAGGAGGAGGCACAGGTTTAAGTCGGTTATCGTTACCTTTGTTGCCGCACGTACGTTTCGAGCTTCACGCTTAGAGTCTGGCCAACGCCAAACATGAGGAGAGAAGGAGGCGGAGGAGGAGGGGGGAGGAGAGGAGAGGAGGAGAGGGGGAGAAGAGAGGGGGGGGAGAAGGAGGAGGAGAGGAGAGGAGGAGGAGGAGGGAGGAGGAGGGAGGAGGAGGAGGAGGGAGGTCGTCGTCGTCATCGTCGTCGTCGTCGTCGTCGAGAGGCGCCCTGGCAGATAAGCGTGCCCGGGGGAGGAGTGAGGGGAGGAACAAAAAACGGCAGAAACATAAATGTTCGACGGACCGCGCGGAGTTCTTGGATTTGCGCTGGGCGCCTAGGCGGCGCCTCCGGCGCCGCCCTTGGCGCGCTCTGCGCGCCCGGGAGGGGGTCCAGCTCAGATCCAAGAACTCCGCGCGGACTGTCGAAAAGTCATGCGTCTGACGTTTTTTTTGTTCCGCTAGCGGAGGGGAGGGGGGGACGGAGGGTCATACGGAGGGATGGGCGGAAGGAAGGACAGAGGGAGGGACGGAGGGACGAAGGGGAGGAGGAGCAAGGGAGGGAGAAGGAGGAGGATGAGGAGGGAGAAAAAATGAGGAGGAGGAGGAGGGGGAGGAGGAGGAGGAGGAGGAGGAGGAGGAGGAGGAGGAGGGAAGCCGGGGAGAGAGGAGGTATGCGTTGGCTAATGTTTGGTTCCTGTGCAGCGACGCAAGCGATTGCCGTGAACTACTCGCGAAAGGGAATTCTGCGCGCGGCGCCGCAAGCATTGAGTTGCGGGGAGAGAGCAGCGCAGAGAGCATCGCAGCGCATTCGTGAGAGACCCAGTTCGAGATCCCTATCCAACCTAAGACCAGATTCCAGTCCAGGACGTGATCCCTGCACGAGCAAAAGAAATTGTGAGGGCGCTTCCACGGAGATCGCAGTCGTACCGTCATGCATGCGAAACTCGTCTGCAGCCAGTCAGCGCGTTGCACACGGATGGCAGACGGCCAAACTTGGACCAGGCAAGAAAGATTGCCAGAGGAGGCAGGACATGTCTTACGGTGTGGTTCTTTGCAGAGGGGAGGAGCACGGCCCGACTGCGCAATGCGGACTAGGCGTGGTGGCGACTAGGCACGATGCTTGGGCATGATGCCTACCAGGCATACTGCCCAGGTATGAGACATGCAGCTTGGCTAAAGATGGCCTGGGGCTGTCGCAGAATCCCAGTGTAGGATCGAGGCCTTGGGCAAGACGACGGGCCTGCCCGCCCTCCCCGAGCGGTGTGCAAACTGATGGTGCGGTTCCACACGCGATGCGCTACCACCCCTTTGTTGGACTGTGCTATCTGGCCATGCGACTTGCGTCCCCGTCTCCACCTCGCGCTCGCCGGCGCGAGGAGGTTGCCAGCAGGATGCGTTCGCGGGCGATGCTTTTCGGCGATGGCGAGTCCTTCCCGGCGTTGGTGATGACCTTACGATCATTCAGTCGTCGCCTCGATTTGGCGGTGTTCTTCTGCGCCTATTCATCGTGCTCGTCTTGTTGTGCTCGCTCC